GGGAAGGGAAGGTTTGGGAAGGGAAGGTTTGGGAAGGGAAGGTTTGGGAAGGGAAGGGAAGGTTTGGGAAGGGAAGGTTTGGGAAGGGAAGGTTTGGGAAGGGAAGGTTTGGGAAGGGAAGGTTTGGGAAGGGAAGGGACCCGAAAATGAAGTGAAACCACCCCCCAGAGCCACCATCGGACACAAAAACCCCTCCAAACCCTCCTGCTGCTCCTGCCCCTCAGCAGCAATTCCTCTTTTTCTGCTCGTTTATTCCTCGTTCTCACACCCCCAGCACAAGGAAAGTGAAAATGAAGCGAAACAGTCCAGGCAGAGGAGATGCTGAAAGGCTTCTTTGAAGCTTTTTGGGTTTTGTTTGTGTATCAAAAGGGCTTATAAAGCGTTTATTGTTTTAGATGTTACAACGCTGTTCGGGCACGGAGATAAATACAAATACAAAAATAAATATATGGAATCTCTTCCTGAAGGGAGGGAGCACCTGCGCTGGGCAGAGATGGATAAAATCCTCTCTGTGTGGAAACAGGGACAACAAACAGGCCCCAGTTCCTTCGGATTCAGAAACACTTTGACAGTCAGTTCTTAGGGCTGAAGCACAAACCTCCCCGAGCTGGGAGAGGCGGGAGACCATGGAACGGTTCGGGCTGGAAGGGATTTTAAGCACCATCCAACCCCACCTGGGAGGGGACACCTCCCGCTATCCCAGGTTGCTCCAGCCCGGCCTCGGGCACTTCCAGGGACGCAGGGGCAGCCTGTGCCTGTTCCTCATCACCCTCAGGCCCCCTCCCGAGGCCCTTAGACCCCCCGTACCGGACTCCTCGTCCTTCTTATCGAACTTCTTGATCATGGCGGCCGCGCTCCCTCAGCCGCTCCCGCTCCCTCCGAGCGCCGCCGCCGCCGCCTCACGGCCCCGCAGGAAGCACCGCCCCCCGCCGCACGCCGCGCCCGCTGATTGGGCGGCGGAGCTGTCAATCAACCCCCGGGGGCGGCTTCGCGCCTTCCGCGGCTCTGAAGGGGCGGGGCCGGAGGGGGGGGGAGTCTTAAAGGGGCCGCTCGCGTTGTGTGAGGGGAGTCTGAGGGGATGGAAAAACGCGTGGAAATCGCGTGGAAATCGTGTGGAAATCGCATGGAGCTCCCGTGGCAAAGCGGCCATTTGAGCCCCCTGGCAAAAAAAAAAAGAGAATTCATGTGTAGGTCGCTTGTAACTCGCGTGTAACTCGTGTGTAACTCACATGTAACTCACATGTAACTCACATGTAACTCACATGTAACTCACATGTAACCCGTGTAGCTCACGCATAATTCGCACATAACTTACATGGAACTGAGATGTAACTCATAACTCACCTGTAACTCACCTGTAACTCAGGTGTAACTCATGTGTAACTCCCACATAACTCACAAGTTATTCACATGTAACTCCCATGTAACTCCCACGTAACTCCCACGTAACTCCCACATAACTCCCACATAACTCGCGTGTTATTAGGAATTAAAAGCTAAAAAAATTAGGAGTATGGATCAAAATTTAGGGATTAAAAGCTAAAAAGGTTAGGAATACGGGTATGAAAGTTTGGAGTTAAAAGCTAAGAAATTTAGGAATACGGAAAAAAATTAGGAATTAAGAGCTAAAAAAATTAGTAATACGGATACAAAGGAATTAAAAGCTAAAAAAATTAGGAATAAGGATATGAAAATTTGGAGTTAAAAGCTAAACCAGAAAATTAGGATCATGAATAAAAAAATTAGGAATTAAAAACTAGGGAAATTAGGAATACACTTAAAAACTTACAAATTAAAAGCTAAGAAAATTAGGAATATGGATAAAAAATCAGGAATTAAAAGCTGAAAAAACCTGTTGCAATATCATTTTCCCCAGTGTTTTTATTCCACGGCTCAGCCTTTAATCCATCCCGCTTATTTAGACTCCAACCACATCCAGGTGGAATTTCCTCCCGGAGGAATTCCTGCTCTTTTTATTTGTCTTTAATTCATTATTATTATTATTATTATTATTATTATTATTATTATTATTATTATTATTATTATTATTATTTCCTTGGAGGGGGGCTCCATAATTTTGTAGGCAAAATGTCAGCACTGCAATTTCTCCCTGGATCAGGAAAATCCTCCCTCCCTCCTTATTTTCAGGGCGCTATTTTGATTTTCCAGGTGCCTCCAGCTTTGGGACAGGGGCTGGGACAGCGACCCCTGAACTAATTAACAACCTGAACTAATTAACAGTCATTCCAATGAGAGTAGGGAAGCAACTTGCTGGGAAATCATTCCATTTACAGTCAGCAGGGCTGAACCACACCCTCAGATATTCTCGGGAGATAAGAAGATTTTTGGGATGAACTCACATCCTGAGGGGGTTTTATATCCTCGGAACAGGAACATGTGTGGGAGCCGACAAGAAATGAGGGAATTCCTGGCTAATTCCCCAAAAGAAAGAAAAAGCAGATGGATCATTTCTGCTCCTTTGCTGCATCATTCTGGTTTCTGTTTGGGAAGTGAATATCCCTGTCCCCCAAGGGACATTTTTTTGCCCAGGGTTGCTCCTGATCCCTGCTGCTGGCACCTTAAACCAGGCACTTTGACTCCCTTTAAACTCCGGTCCTGGCCTAGAATCCAGCTTTTCTCACCCAAAAATCCCCTGGTTCAGGAGTCACAACTGACGCCACAACCCTTCCACGTGTGACATCTGAGGACAAACAGGGAAATCCCAACAGAGCTCCTCAACCACTTCAGTGTGGGGAGGTGCATCCCCCCTGCCTCCCCCTCCCTGGAATTCCCACTCCCCATCCCAGATGGATGGCAAAGTGTCCCCTGACCACACCAGGTGGGCAGGACTGCCCCAGGAATTCTTGCCTGGCAAAATTGGCAGTGAATTGTTCCTGCCGGGAACAGCAGCTGCCCAACAGAGGTGAGGGACAGGGTCATAACCAGTTAATCCCTGAAAAAAACCCTCCAGTGCTTCCCAACTTGGCTCATGGCCAGGAGGTGAATTCCCTGATGGCTGAAGGCAATCAGGGAATCACAGAGTGGTTTGGGATGGAAGGGAATCGAAAGATCATCCCATTCCACTCCCTGTCATGGGCAGAGACACCTTCCACTATCCCAAGTGGCTCCAACCCGGCCTTGGACACTTCCAGGGATCCAGAGGCAGCCACAGCTTCTCTGGGCAGGGAGTCCTTTATCTCCCTATTTCAAGATTCCTTTATTTCTCTGTCTCTTTGGAGGCTCAGAAGGGTTTTGGAGCTCACGGAAAAGTTTGATTAGCACTTGCTCTATCAGGGCCGGGCTGATTGTTCTGACCACTAAATTAATTCAGATAAAACCCAAAACCAGGCGCCAAGAGAAGCTGGAGAGACATCTAGATCCTAAATATTGGAATTCTGATGGGAGACAGTATGAAGAAAGGCCAGGGAAAAGGAAAGAACCCTCCTGCCCTGAGGGACTCACATCATCCAGGGTGTGGTAGGAGCTGAAGTCGAAGCTGGTGCTTCGCTCCCTCTGGGCGCTCTCGGCCATGTCCTGCTTCTCCTTGTCCAGAACATCCTAAAATGAGACATTCCAGGGGTGAGAAAAGTCTGCTTCGGTCACAAAATGAATTTTAAAAGGCAAATGTTTGTGCTGAGTTAACCAGAGAATTCCTGGAATGGTTTGGGTGGGAAGGGAACTGAAGGATCATCCAGTTCCAAGCCCAGGGACACCTCCCACTATCCCAGGTTGCTCCAACCCGGCCTTGGACACTTCCAGGGATCCAGGGGCAGCCACAGCTTCTCTGGAAAATTCATTCCAGCCCCTCCCCACCCTCCCAGACAGCAATTCCTTCCCAATATCCCACTTATCCCTGCCCTCTGGCAGTGGGAAGCCATTCCCTGTGTCCTGTCCCTCCATCCTTTCTCCCAGTCCCTCTCCAGCTCTCCTGGAGCCCTTTAGGCCCTGGAAGGGGCTCCAAGGACTCTGTGGTCCCATTTGGAACTGGAATTTGGGGTTGGGCTGTGCCAGGAGCATCCAGCAGCTTTATTTTTCCTCCTGGATCCAGCGTTTCCCTTGGCTGGGAATGGTTAAACTGGAGAGAGACCTGGAAGCACCGAGGATGGATCTTAAACCTCCTAATTTCTTAGAATCATGGGATGGTTTGTGTTGGAAGGGGCCTTAAAGCCCATCCAGTTCCAGGCCCAGGGACACCTTCCACTATCCCAGGTTGCTCCAACCTGACCTTGGACACTCCCAGGGATCCAGGGGCAGCCACAGCTTCTCTGGGAAATCCATTCCAGCCCCTCTCCACCCTCCCAGCCAGCAATTCCTTCCTAATATCCCATCCATCCCTGCCCTCTGGCAGTGGGAAGCCATTCCCTGTGTCCTGTCCCTCCATCCCTTGTCCCAAATCCCTCTCCAGCTCTCCTGGAGCCCCTTTAGGCCCTGCAAGGGGCTCCAAGGTCTCCCTGGAGCCTTCTGTGGGTGGGCTGTTAAGGAAACTCCTTGCTGACGATCCAGGAGCCACCTGAGCTGGGAATGAGGCCCCTTTGCAGCTCCACCCCCCACACTCACACCCTCAGACCGGGTTTCCTTATGGGATCAATCCCAGGTTTCCCATACGGAGCCTCAGACCTCTCAGTCCTTAAAACAACTTAATCTTGGTGCAATAATTAAATAACAAAATAAGAGCTGGTGGCTCTTGGTGGCAGGGGGGGGACCCCCAACAAAGGACACCCTGGATTTTTACACCCCCACAGCCTGAGTGAGGGAAAAGTTTGGGATCATCAGCTCCTTCCGCATGTCCGAGTGTCACCGGGATGGGCCGCAAAGGTCCCTGTGCCCGTCCTGGTTGGGGACATCTCCCACTTTCTCCCCTCAGGGCTCAGCCTGCGGCTCCACCCCGAGCTCCCCGCACTGAGGGCATCCCCCAACATTTCCCTAGCCCTGACTTTTCATGGAATTCCAAGGATTTTCCTGGAAAGCTCTGGAAAACGAGCCGTTCTCCAGCCCAACCAGCACAAAGTCCCGCAGAGTTTTCCTCTTCTGGAAGACCAGGAGCCGCACGGCTCCTCTGCACCAAAATCCCACCCCAAAAATTGGGACACCGCGGGGTTTTGCCCACGGCTTTCGAAGGAATCCTTGGAAAAGAAGGGCTGAACCTTCCCAGGAGTGTTTTCCTCTCCCAAAGCCGCGTTATCAGCCCCAGTTCTTGGCCAGCCCGAGGCAGTTCTTGCCCTGCCCTTCCCAACCTCCCTCATGTGGGATTCCCAGCCTGGCCAGGGTTCATCCAGCCAGCCCTGGGAATTCGGGATAACCCGGAATTGCCCTGGAACCGGGGCAGGGTTTTCACCTGGAACGTTTCCAGTCACCACCCTCGGGTGTCTCCTCCAGGCTTTTTCCAGGTTTCTGGGCTGTCAAGGTTGGTTCTCACTCCGGGATGGGCAGAGGGAGGATTTACCTGTTTCCCAGGAGGAATTGGCCAGGAAATGCTACGGTCCAAATGATCCTTTTCCTTCCCTTTCCTAGATATTGTGGAATATATATTTTTTATTTATTTATTTATTTATTTATTTATTTATTTATTTATCCATTTACTTATTTTATTTCTATCATGTTATTTTATTTATTGTAATATATTTTATATAAAATATATTTGTATATTCATATCCATATATTTATTGGATAATGTATATTATATATAAGAGATATTCATAATATATAATACATATAAATATATATAATTATATATATGTAATTATATATATTTATATATAATTATGTATTATATATATTTATATATAATATATAATGTATAATGTATAATGTATAACTATATGTTTCTGGGTTTCTGGGCTGTCAAGATTGGTTCTCACTCCTGGATGGGCAGAGGGAGGATTTACCTGCAAATTCCTCCTTCCCAGGA